GGACCTTGTGCACCTGTTTGCCACTGAGGGGTGATGCGTGTGGGGCCTCGTGCACCTGTTCGCCACTCAGGGGCGATGCACCTGCGGTCTCGTGGAGCTGTTCAACTGGAGCCTTTGAAACCTGCATGTCACAAGGGGGCAATGCACCTGGGACGTCTGGGCCTGCGGAACAACCTGGCAGCCTGTGTGTCTTGCGCGCAAGCGCTGCACCAAGGACCCGGGAACCTAGGGCCTCGCGCACTTGTTCGCCACTCAAGGCGATGCGTGTGGGGCTTCCCGTCCTGGACGACCTGGAACTTTGTGCACCTGTTCGCCATTTAGACCTTGGGTCTTTGGACCACGAGCGCAACTCACGGGCGACGCATCTAGGAATGTTGGCAGAGGCTTCGGCTGAAGCAACGAGGCGCACGCTGGCAGCATGGTTGCCGGTAGGCCTGCGTATTGTTTTAAGGTCCTTAGGGGAGGGAACCCAAAGGGAGGGAGGAGGGGACCTAGAGGCAGATTGCAGGACAGTCCTGGCGAGGCTTGACAGGGAACCCTCCTCAGGCCAGGATTGGGAGTCATGCCAATGGCTGGGCCAAGTCAATGATGCCTGCGCAGGGCGCGATGTCTGGGCGCCAGCATGGCCGACATTGGGATGTGAAATGTTAGGAGCCCACTCAGCATGGGGCCCAGGCTTAGGCAAACAATGCAGGAACTTCCTCATTATACTCAGAACATGTCTGCGGTACTCGAGTAGACCTTCACCCTGTACTGCTTCTACAAAACTGACCTTCCTCGGCAACAAGGCGCCGAATGTACAAAGGCAAGAAAGAGACTGTACACGAGAGCTTACTGCAGCCTCACTAACAGCATCGACGTAGGCGAGCTGGGGGCTGTAGTTGTCTTCAGTGTATCTGGGCACCGGCCAATCCGCTATGCGTTCATCACTCCAGCTGTGGGTGCCACATAGGACATCACACCGCATTTGAGTGGCCAGTAGCCTTGCGCGTAGCACGTCCACATAGTCGTCCTCGAGACAAACACTATGGGCGGCAAGTAGCCTGAGGGGTCCCGACCGGCTCGTCCTCAGGCCTTTTGAAAATTCTGGGCACGGGCAGCTGCAGCAGCATTCTCTGTCGATTGTGATGCGGTAGCTCCAGGCTGTGCTGGTTTCTGCGTCTCTGGCGAATCTACAGTCAGATCCACAATACCTTCTCCAGTACGCTTGGATCCTCGTCGCGGCGTGCGCTCCCGCACCATCGCTCCAGCTTCTGCTGCATCCTTGACTTCCTGGAGGGCTGCCTGCAGTCGCTGATGGCTTTGAGCAAGTTCTGCTCTGCGGGCCATTGCCTTTGCATCTGTTTCTGCAGCAGCTGCGATTGTCATGTCCTGGTCGGAGATCTCCTCCTCCGAGCCACCCTCCTCGTTCTTGCTGTGGTTCTTGTTGTGGGCAGCAGCTTCGAGCTCTCTCGATGCTTCTACCAACTGCGTAGTCCATTCTTGCTCCCTCTGATCCATATCTGTCAGAGCTTGTTCTCGCTGCGCAAATTGCAAGGTCAGTGTCTCCATAAGTTCTTGAGTGTAGGTACACCAAGAGGATTCGAAACAGGCTCGCTCTTGTTGCAGGTCGGCCAGCTGTCTGCGAGCCTCTCCTCGCTTGCTGACTAGCTTGTGTAGATACTTCGCGTCTTTCTGTGCCGAAGCCTTTTCGACTTGCAAAACCATGCTTCGCAGGTTTTCCGGCAACTCTTCTTTGTTGACGTGCTGGATCAGTGCTTGAAGCAGCCTCTTGTCCTCCGTAGGAGCAGCGGGTTGGCTTGACGCTCCTGCTTCCTTGGGGCTCGCAAACTCTTTGGCTTGCGGTGGACGAGGGAGTTGTTGAACCTTTGGCGCAGTCTGCTCCTCTGCAAATCTGCCTGCTTTGGCCTTGCCCTTGCCCTTCCCTTTGTCTCCACCAGTCTGAGAATGGTCTTTGGGCTTTCTTGTTCTTGGCGATCTTCTTCTCGGCGAAGTCGTCCTCCAAGCATTCTTCTGCCAGGGAGCTGGTGGCTGTCCCCATCCATCTCGGGGATCTCTGTCCGTATACGTGGGCGCTGAGCCGCCCCATGGTGCCCCACACCCCGGGCAAAACCATGCCGTAGCTTTGTTCGTCTGTCCACAACCACATCGCCAGCTTTGTGTGTTGGTCTGTTTGTATGATGCCATCAGCTTTTCGACTTGTTTCGGCAAAGTACTTGCCGAGTGGTGTTGTCTTAGGAGTCGTATGGCTTCCGTAGTCTGTCCCGGAACAATTGGCGAGAGACCGGTCAGCACTGTACGGAGGTGTGTGCGTGCCACTGTCCGTTTGCGGCGGGCTCGCCTGTGTGCGGCACTTTCTGGAAGATGTCGCACCGTGTTGACACTCAGTGGCAAACGCCCAAAGTGTGAAAAGCCAGCGCAAGCTTGTTCGCATAGAACTGGAAAAAGAAACCACGGTATTTGCAGCCACGCAGTTGTTACCAAGGGGGAACAGCTGCAGGTCCTGTCGGCCGGGGCAGCGACAGCAAAAAACCAGGTCTGAAGTGTCCCTGTCCACCACTCAGATGGCTCACAGGGGTTAGGGTAACTGTGGGCAGAAAAACCAGAGAACTGGCTCGGACGCACGCTAGTCGCACGGGCGGACACTAGCGGCAGTCGCGGGCAGCAGCCTCGCTTAGGGTTTAGGGTTTAGGGTTTAGGGTTTAGGGTTTAGGGGCCAGGGACCACGAGCCTGTTTCGGCCCCCGGCGGTCGCCAATCTTCCAACGACTGCTATGTGCTACACAGCTACTCTTCCCCCCAAACCCCAGACCCCAGACCCCAAACCCGAACCCTAAACCGAACCTAGAAGCAGCCCAGGTCTTATATACTCCTGCGACAGACATGCCTGAGTATAGGGTTTAGGGTTTAGGGTTTAGGGTGAGATAACATCTGAGATGCGGTCGGAAAATCATGCCAGTACATGATCTGGGAGCCAGCAGCCAGGTTCATGGGCTTACTCATAAGTACCCATGAACCTCCAAGTAGCCCTAAACCCCAAACCCAAAACCCTAAACCCTAAACCCTAAACCCTAAACCCGAAACCCACAACTGGTCCAGCCTTCAGTCGCGCTAACTTCTCTTGCACCCTCAGCTCGATCAACATGTGCCGCACGTCTGCGCCACTCACCTAAGTTTAGGGTTTAGGGTGTAGGGTTTAGGGCTAGAGCCAGTTTAGGGTTTAGGGGTTCAGGGTTTAGGGCTAGAGTTAGGAGTAGCTTAGGAATAAAACAGGGCACCCTTTTTGGTTTAAAGGGGCGTAGAAGGGAACCTAAACCCTAAACAGCAAAGGGGAAAAGGGCAACTACCCTGGGTCCGGGTCACTGGCGAGGCAGTTGTGGCCACGCGCATGATGGATTGGGTTCGGTCAATCCGGTAGCTCAGAAAGCCAAAGCTCACGAAGGACCAGAAAAAGGCAATGGTCCTGGCTTGGGGGGTTCCCCCTTATACTAACAGCTCCCAAACCGGGATTATAATTGGGGGGCGAGGGGGGGGGGGTACTCTAACAACCTTAAACCCTATACCCTAAACCCTAAACTCTATGAAGGACTGTCAGCTAATATGGGGGAACATCCCAAGTCCTGGCCATCTCGTGGAACATCACGAAAAAAGCCACGGCCCTTTGAAGGGAGGCGATTCGACTTTCCTTGGCTGACTGCTGAACCCCTCCTAAAAGATGAACTTTTAGGCTCCTTTATAGTAGTTTCTTCAACAAACCCGAAGGCTAAATTCCTAAGAGCCCCCTAAACCCTAAACCCTAAACCCTAAACCCTGAACCCTAAACCCTGAACCCTAAACCCTAAACCCTGAACCCTAAACCCTAAACCCTAGGCCCCAAGCTTCGTAGAGTTGCATGGAGATGTTCTGGGTCTTAGCCAACTCAAAGTTCTCCGCAACAGTCGAGGTGTCGTCAAGAAGGCTTTTGCCGTACCTTGAAAAGCCCCGTCACCATATTCTAGTAAGGGTTTAGGGTTTAGGGTTTAGGGTTTAGGGTTTAGGGTTTAGGGTTTAGGGCACCCTTTTGAGGTTGGCTACTTTAGAAGTGGCAAAAGGGTCCCGCGGGGCTACAACCCTAAACCCCGAACCCTAAACCCTGAACCCAAAACACTGAACCCTAAACCCTTTTGAACCCAGCCCTGCTGAGACTCTAAACCCTAAACCCTAAACCCTAAACCAAGATACACAAGCTCGGGCGACTCATAGACCTTCGTGGAGTCGAGGGTCAGAGGATCCAATGACTCAGCAGTGGCCTCCCATGCTTAGGGTATAGGGTTTAGGGTTTAGGGTCTAGGGTTTAGGGTCTAGGGTCTAGGGTCTAGGGTCTAGGGTTTAGGGTCTAGGGTTTAGGGTTTAGGGTTTCCAAAGTATGGGCCCTGACTATGGGGCCCTTGGTAATATGTACCTCCTTTACACACTACTAAAGAATTCCTCAGGGCCCATACTTCGGATCCATCTAAACAACAGTCAGAGTCCATTCTAAGGGCCCAGGGTTCGGACCTTAGACCCGGAGCAAATCGCACCCCTGGAGAAATTTTGCGCGGGCGCATGCAACAAAAAGCCACAAAACTATTGCAGCGTTTGGGTTTAGGGTTTAGGGTTTTAGGGCTTTTGGTTTAGGGTAGTATCTGGGAGTGGTGAAAAAACTAAGCAAGCAGGGTCAGAGGGTCCCCCTTCTCCACATGTAGTAAGAGGGCCACCAAGCAAGGGACCCCCCCACTCTTTTTCGGATACCCTACTAACAGACCTTAAGAGGGACCATAAGGAGGGGTTACAAAAACCCCTAGTAAGGGCTGTTAGTATAAGGGGAAACATCCACAAGCATCTGTCGTTTGCATGGTTCCCAAAGAGCCCAATATAGCTTAATTAATCATATTAAGGATCCCTATATGATTTAAGGAATATTCCTTAATTCAGCAATATTGGGCTCTTTGGGTTCCTTGCGATGCCTGCGACTGGATGAGCTCAAAGATCTGCAGCGACCGCATGCTGGATCGACGCAAGCTGAAGATAAGCTTGCAGTCGGCGCGAGAGACACCACCTGGATGGATCGGTAACCATAAGGGTTTAGGGTTTAGGGTTTAGATTTAGCTATAACAAGGGCACCCGTTTTGGGGGTTGGTTACTTTATAAAGGGAACCCCATGAGCCCCAAAAAAGTAAAGGGCACCACTGGGCTACCAAGCCACCGTAGCCGGATTCCAAACGCTGGAAGATGGTCCTGATCGACTTCTTGCACACGTCCTGCCACGCCGACCCACCCGTCGGGAGCAAGCTTGCAAAAAGTGGCTTGGTCACAGTGACAGTACATGGGTTGCTTCAAGGGCATCAGCGTGCTTCAGCGCACTGGGAGGTTCACGGTTTAGGGTTGCAAGGGAAACCTGAAGCATAAATCCAACTCCAACGGACTCCAACTTCTCGATTTCAGCATCCTGGCGTAGTAGCTGGACACCCTTCCAGCAATCTTCGAACTTGACGAAGCCGTCCTGCCCAGTGTTTGGGGTAGCCGGTAGTGAGATCGCAATGGCCCTGGATATGGCTAGTTCTCTGAAGGTCCCTGCTTGGGTTTAGGGGTCCCTTCGTGGGTTAAGGGGTCCAGGGTCGAACCCCATGAAGTACCCTCATCAGGTGCCCTTTGGCCGCGTCACTGGCCTCGTCAACCTCCAAGCAGTCCACCACAGCCTGCACCTCTACTGAACTTGGAACCCTAGCAACCTTTTGCTTTTGATTTCAGCTGTTTCTGAAGAATGAAAAAGTGCCCAAAGAAATTAACAAAATTCCTTTTTTCGCTGTTTCTTAGGCATTATAAATTAAGTGCCAAAAAAATTGGAAAAATGTTTCCAAGCATCCCTGAGGCACCTTCTCCTCCACCTCGACTTGGCTCTGCTTGTCCATGGCCTTGAGCAAGGGCTTCTTTAAGACAGCCCGGAGCTTACAAAAAAACCTAATTAAGGGGTTTAGGGTTTAGGGTTTAGGGTTTAGGGGTTAGGGTTTAGGGTTTAGGGTTTAGGGTTTAGGGTTTAGGGGTTCCAAACCCCTCAAGTAAGGAATATGCCCCTGATTTAGATTAAGGATCATTATGATGAGTTTAGGGTCTATTCCTCAATGAAGGGCTTTTGGAAGATCTGGGAGGGATTCGCTGGGTTTGGGACTTTGGGGGGTTTAGAAAACCCCTAAACCCTAAACCCTAAACCCTCAACCCTCAACCCTAAACCCTAAACCCTAAACCGTGCAAGGCCTGAGGATCCTGGGCTTATTTCAGCCATAATTCAACGAATTTCGAACGATGAAAAGATAAGAACCCACATATTGCCCTGTAAGGGTTTAGGGTTTCTTTGGGGGTTCTTAAGCTGTGGATTCAGAAAACCACGAGAGGGAGTTGCAAGGATTGTCTGGTTGAGGCTTGGGTGCTGAGCGTGGGTGTGGAGAGCCCGCCTGGTTCAAGCAATGACTGATACAAGCACACCATATGGCAACATAGTACCGCCAAAAGCATCCCCCATTTCCCTCGAAATCATTTGGACTAACGCCTCGCTACGCTAGCCGCTAGCTGTCGTGATTGGAGTACCCTGGCCCAAGAAAAAAAGTAAACCTTTCAATGATGGTAGCATGGTAGATAGCCCAAAAAGTTAAAGGTTATCTACTCAGCTACTAGGATGAGTTTCTGAAGTGCTGACACTCACGATGCCGAGGGCAGGAAACGGGGGGGGGGGGGGGGGGCTTAGGGCTTAGATGTTCAACAAGCATCCCCAACGGATGAGAATTTAGAGAGCTGGCCTTGTGGGCTTTGCACCAGAAATACCCCCCCCCCCCCCCCCCAACCCTCACCCTTACCCTGACCCTGAACCCTGAAACCTGAAACCCTGAAACCCTGAAACCCTGAAACCCCTGAACCCAAACCCTAAAACCCTAAACCCTCAACCCTAAAACCCTAAAACCCTAAAACCCTAAAACCCTAAAACCCTAAAACCCTAAAACCCTAAAACCCTAAAACCCTAAAACCCTAAAACCCTAAAACCCTAAAACCCTAAAACCCTAAAACCCTAAAACCCTAAAACCCTAAACCCTGAACCCAACCCCCCGCCCCCCCAAATTCACCCCAAAGCCTGCTGTATCATCCTTTCTCGGCGATGGTCCAACCGGTGCTGCACGTCCGCCATCTCCTCCGGCACCAAATGGGAGGAGTTCGGGCAAGGTCTAGGGTATAGGGTTTAGGGCTTAGGGCTTAGGGTTTAGGGATTCACCCACCTTAACCCTGTTGTTCATCTACCCCAAACCCTTTTGAACCCTAAAAAGGCCTAAACCCCAAACGCTAAACCTAGCCCTAAACCCTAAACCCTAAACCCTCTCCTGATCATCCTCCGATGCCAAGTTCTGGAAAGCTCCGAGGATGGAGACGGCGGAACTACCTACAAGCCCTAAACCCTAAACCCTAAACCCTAAACCCGAAAAAACCCCAAACCCTAAACCCTAAACCCTAACCCTAAACCCTAAAATCCTGCCACCATGGGAGCCTCATGACACTGGCTAGGTTGGCTCCAAAAACGACCCGCTTAAACCCAATAAGGGGGTTCGGGGGTTTAGGGTTTAGGGTTTAGGGTTTAGGGAAATGTCCCAAGGGACTACCTCGCTGGGTTTAGGGTGGTATATAGGGTTTCATTGTTTTGGGTCGAATGCGCTTATTACCAACATTGCTGGGAGAAGTGCAAGAAGTGGATGCGCGGCTTGCGCCCACAGAGGGGCTTTGCGATGCATGGGTGTTTTTCTGCCAACGCGTGACCTGCAATCCACAATCTCGACCGCATTCCTCCTAAAACCCCGCAGGCGGAGAACTCGTCAGGACCTGAAACCGATTTAGGGTTTAGAGCTTTGTTGGCCAGTTCTCTAAACGACGGTCCTATTTGGGGGGTCGTCTAGGTACGATACTCTGTGCTACAACCGGAATGCCCAAAAAAGCGGACAACAATGTAAACAAAATCGACCATGTAGCCTCCATCCTAGTCGACCCCTACATTACTTGATGCAGCTCTGCAACAAAACTGTGCTTGCTCAAGTCCTCTTTAGAGACTCCAGAGTTTTGCAAGCAGGCTATACAATGTCTTTGCAGTAGGGTTACCTCGTGGACGCTTCTTGCATCTGACGAAACACTTCTGGCCTACAAACCTCAAACCCCCAATTGTGCAACCTAAACCCTAAACCCTAAACCCTAAACCCTAAACCCTAAACCCTAAACCCTAAACCCTAAACCCTAAACCCTAAACCCTAAACCCTAAACCCTAAACCCTAAACCCTAAACCCTAAACCCTAAACCCAAGACGGCCTTCGGGTTTCGTGCTGTGGCGCGAGAGGAGATGCTCACAAAGGTAGGGAGGGCGCGCATCCTTCAAGAACACCTGGGCCGCCGGTAGCCCGGATCTTCCAAAATGGTTTAGGGTTTAGGGTTTTAGGGTTTAGGGTTTACGGAAAGGAATATACCTTGGGATGTTCCCCCCTTATGATAGCGGTCCGTAATAGGGATTCTAGTACCCCCTAGTATGAATTCTTATTATTCAGGACTGTTAGTATAAGGGGAACACCCCAACCAAGGATCATACTATAGTTTGGGAAATCCACCAGTTGTTATCCGTTAAGCCATGAGCAGGGGCGCGCCTAACCTTTTTACTCAGAGGGCTTGAGCGACACAAGTAAGTGCAACATACATGTAAGCAAAAGTGGAGGGAATGCACAGATATAAAATACACCCCCCTCGTTGAAGCGTGAGAATGCTGAAACGCAGTCAACGAATCCACGGCAAGCACTACGTGCTGCATTTTGCTCTTCTACTGTATGTTCAAAGTGCGCTCACCCGAGTTTTAATTCAGGTTCAACGCCACAGATCACCGCGCACCAGCTTAAGAAATTTGAAACGCTGGCGGGGATACAAAGGTGGCTCGTGCAATACAGTGGTTCACTCAGCATCGACCTCAAAAGAAAGGAAAACAGAGCGTTGTGGTCAAGATGCTAAGCTACTTTATCAGAAAAGCGGAACTCAGGACTCACCAGCTGCGATCTCGATGGTCGTAGCGCCAAGGTCCACGGGAGTGCTCCGTACTGCGACTCCCCGAGCTCCACCAGGATCCTTGATCCTGCCACTGGCGATCACGCCAGGAACTTGAGGAATGCCAGTCGTCCTGCGACCAAGAGTTGTCGCTCCACGACCAGCCACGATTCGTGTCACGATCGGCCTCCCCATAACGGGGGGCATTTTGCGGTGCCTTTCTTGCATCCGCCCGCGCCTGAGCGGCCCGGGACGCTTCTGCCGATTCCTTCATCTTTCGGCACGTTTCCTTTGCCCCACCATAGTTCTCAGAGAGGATCTCGGCCAAAAAGACTGCCAGATGCTCTTCCTCGTCGAAGTCCGGGATGCCAATGATGCCCTCCGTGAAGGTGAGGATGTGGGAAACCGCACGGGTGACGCGGATGATCCGGGCGAATTCCTTCACGCCCATGAAGTTGCCGAGCCAAGCGTAGCCCATAGGTTCGAGGTTGGGGTCGTCGATGAGGCCGGCCAGGACGAGATCGTCGGCGTTCTTGTCGAAGAACGCCATGCGAGCCAGGCCCTCATGATTGACCTTTTTATTCTCCCAGGCCTTGTTGGAGCCGTAGCCCAACTCACGTTGTTCGCGGGAACGACCTTGATTGGGAAGATAAGCGCATGCCACGCAGTCCTGAATAGTGAGCCGCCTTCTCGTCCAGCCGCCCTTGATAGCGTGGATCGCGTAGGTGTCGTCCTGGTCGAACTTGTCCACCATCGACGTGTAGCCGTGCTTCATGAAGCCTTTGAGATTTTGGCGTGCCAACATGATAGCTCGGCCATCTACGCTCTGCTGTCCCCTCAAGTCATGCGTTCCAGCGGCCTGGCGAATCTTCGCGGCATCCATCTCCCAAAGGCCCTTTCCAAACTGCTCTGCCAGGGCGTCCAAGACATGGGAGCGCTCACGCGCCATCCACATTCTGAAGGCACTCTGGGTGGCCCCACGGGTGACGTAGTAGCCGCAGTGGAAACACTTGTGCTGACCTTCGAGACGAAGCTTGCCACAATTGACGCACTGAATCTGCGTGATTTCCCTCTTCCATCCAGGACGCGGCGCTTGTGTTGCCGGTGCCGTAGAGCGGGTAGCCACTCCTTCATCAGGGACCACTTGCAACTGACCTTCAGTCAAACGGTTCCTTCCTGAAGGCGACACCTCGATGACATCGGCGTCGGTGTTGAAGCGAACGTGTAGAGGTGGAAGTTCAGGAACGGTGCTCTCGACCTCCTCAAGGATGGGAACGTCGAACTCCTCCTTGACCAATGGGGCTTCTTCATGCTCGACACCAGGCTCCTCCTGCACTTCTTGGAGAGGTCCCGCGGCTTCAACGACCATGCTTCCGGAAGATTCGGCCTCCTCTATATGAGGGGCATTCTCTTCCTCCTCCTGTCCCTCAGGTCCATCCGCGGCAGACCACAAGATTTCATCGGTCCTTGTGTCGCGGATGTAGAGAACCGTCGATCCAGAGATCGCTTCTCTGCAGAGGACGCCCTCAGACCGTGAGTAGAACAGTCCAGCGCCTTGCCTGAGGGCATCCATGGTGTTGACGACCACCTCCACGGGGCGATCGCTGCTCACGCCAGGGACATTTTCTCCCGGCCCTACCTCCCGGTCGGCAAAATACACAAAGGCATTCGCGGTGTGGTGCCCGGGGATAAAGCAGGAGTCCAAGATGGCAAAGGCTCGATCCTTGTAGGTGCGGTGGTAGAGCCTGCGTGGAATCTTCTCCAGGGGCAAAACCGGCCGACCTTCCCAGGTGGCAGAATGCTCATCCATCTCTGCTTCTGGGATCATGCTGAACCAGGCCTCCGCAAGGATCGAGTCGGGCACCCCTTTCATGGCCCCAATAAGGGTAGGGTAGCCTCCTAGGCCGTAGTACTCGGCGAGGGGGTGGTTGCGGTCAATTCGCAGCTGGAACCTGCTGCGGTTGTCGTTCTTGACGACAGTGAGGAGCATCCCGAGGCCATAATCCTTGTTCGTCTTCTTGTTCCAGGCCTCGAGGATCTTCCTTGTAGAGCACCACAATCCATCGCCCTGCAGGCCTGGGACGACCTTGCCGCGGACAATACCGGACAAGGCAGTCTTGTGATGCTGGGGAATGTGGATATACTTGAAGTTCGGCATCTCGTCCTGAAGGACGTCAATCCACTCGGCCTCACCTTCCGGTGGGCATAAATGGATTGTGTCCCAGTCGAGGCCCAGCATGTCGACGAGGCACCAATCGTCATCGGTTGCGTAGTAGCCGGACTTGATGGGCTCGTCGTAGACAGCCTCGTGTGGGCCCTTCTTTGCCCGCTTGGGGGCACTGGACTCAGGGTCGGTCCGCTGACGACTGTAGACCTCCCCCCTGGCCAAGAGCTTCTCCTTAGTCTCCCGCGCCGTTGACGACGATGACGGAACAACGACGGCCTCCCCTGGACGGGGGGCATTTTCCTCGCTCTTCTTGATCATCTCGTCGTAGTCCTCGCGGGTAACATATTCCCCATCTCCCAGGTGAACGTGGTCCTTGAAATCCCGGTGGACAAAGTGGTTCGGCGCGGTGTCGGGGAACTGCTCCTGGGGTCCTTGGAAGTAGATGTCGTCCCACGGGTCAGCCTCGACAAGCGGCTGATGTGTGGGCTCTACTCTTCCTTTACGGAAGTGGTTCAGGAGCTTCTCCTCTACCTGCACGTCCACAGCGAACTTGACGTTAGGCTTTGAGACGTGGCCGTAGTTCTGCAGGACCAGGTCGATGTCGGCTTCCTTGAAGAAGGAGCATTGGTGACGAAGGACCATAATCCTGGCGGTAAAACCCAACCACCTCAACAGCTGCAAACGATAGGCGCTGTCCTCCTGGAAGTGAAAATGGTCGAATTTGCGGATCTGGCTCGCAGGCGTATTGAAATGCTTGACGGCCAGCCCAAGTTGGGCGGCGTAGTCGAGCAAATCCGCCATGATGGTACCCCACTCGCGCGGGAGGTAGTAGCCCAGAGCCTCCGAAGGCGTGCATTACAGACCTCTGATGATGAAGGCGTATCTGTTACAACTTCAATAACCCACGACATGATCAGGAAGTATACATATATATATATATGTGTATATATATATATGCGCACAACAAAACAACGATTCAAAATCAAAAGACATGTGCTGAGGCCATGGTCGAGGTAGATCATTGCCAGAACACACCCCTTAAGACATGGAGCTTCCATCGTGCGCCCGGCGCGGGAAGCAAGCCGGGCGCGCCCAACCCGAGAGGGCGCGCGCCCGGCGCGCGCCCGGCGCGCGTCAAAAACGACTCCAATTAATGGTTTTTTGTTTCTTTGTGTTTCAACGTCTTTTCTGTTTCGAATGCGCGCTGATTCTTTTCCTTTTGGGTTACTTTGACGGGCGCGCGCCCGGCGCGCGCCCGTGATTCGGCGCGTGCCCGGCGCGCGCCTCCAATTGAAAAAAGAACGCGGCCAATGGATTGTTCTTGTGTTCTTTTGTCCTTAAAACGTCTCTTGTATTTCGAACGTACGCGAATTGTTCCGGCGCGCGCCCGGCGCGCGCCGGGCGCGCGCCGGGCGCGCGCCGGGGCATTGTTACGTCTCTTGTGTTTTGAATATACGCTGACTGTTTTCCTTTTGGGTTACTCGACCGCGCACGCCGGGCGCGCGCCCGCGCGCGCGCCCGCGCCGAGTCGGCGCGCGCCCGGCGCGCGCCTCCGATTCGGCGCGCGCCCGGCGCGCGCCTCCAATTGAAAAAGAACACTGCCAACGGATTGTTCTTGTGTTTTTGTTGTCGATAAAACGTCGTCTTGTACTTCGAATGTACGGTACTTGTTTTACTTTTGGGTTACTTTACCCTGCACGGCTGGCGCGCGCCCGGCGCGCGCCTCCGACTCGGCGCGCGCCCGGCGCGCGCCTCCGACTCGGCGCGCGCACCGGCGCTCGCCCCCCGACTCGGCGCGCGCCCGGCGCGCGCCTCCGCTCGGCGGCGCCGCCCCTGCGCGCGCCTCCGACTCGGCGCGCGCCCGGCGCGCGCCTCCGACTCGGCGCGCGCCCGGCGCGCCTCCAATTGAAAAAAACGCACCCAATGGATTGTTCTTGTGTTTTTGTTGTCGATCTCTTGTACTTCGAATGTAATTGCGTTACTTGTTTTCCTTTTGGGTTACTTTACCCTGCACGGCTGGCGCGCGCCCGGCGCGCGCCTCCGACTCGGCGCGCACCTCCAATTCAAAAAGAACACTTGCAACGGATTGTTCTTGTGTTTTTGTTGTCGATAAAACGTCGTCTTGTACTTCGAATGTACGGTACTTGTTTTACTTTTGGGTTACTTTACCCTGCACGGCTGGCGCGCGC